TAGAGCCAAAGTGAGAACAAGTAAATAGCACTACTTTAAATTGCCTTGTTTAAAAACAAACAGAAAGGTCATGGGGAAATCAGAAAAAATAAGAAGGAATTCAAAGAGAAGAGAGAGGGATTATGAATATTAAAACAGACATGGAGTACAGCAGTGGGGAGTGAGGGCTAGCAATGAGTAGAGAAGTAATATGAAATCCCAAGGAAAGATAGTGAAGTTGTATCTAAGTTCTTTTTTGTTCCTTCTTGATTCTTACCACCTACTTCCCAGATCCCTGTCGGAAGAGTAGATGAATAGTACAGCCCTTATTATTTTATTAGCACAGCAGTCTTAGCTTTTGCCAATGCCATTAAGAGTAAGGATAACATATCGTCCACCTGCAGTGGGGAAGATCATCAGATTGGTAGGTTCAAATGCAGCTTTACTGGCCTTGAATGTGAGTGTGCCTCTGCTTTCAGACTTGGTTGTATCTCTGTTCTCTTTAGTTCCTAATTTTTCTCTTTTACATTATAGGATATTTTAAAATTATTTTTTATAATTCTCTTCTGACTGAATGTTACATATAATACATGCTATATTTTTAACCAGTTAAAAATTAAAAGGAGAAAATGCTGTTACATTTGTGTTTAAGGGTTAGGTAGGTTAATAATATAGACAGAGCTCCTCCAACTGCCTCCCACATAAATGGTGGCTGGATAAGAAGGCTTAGCTGTTGTGATATTAGTTTTGATAAACTAGGTGTGTAGGTCCGTCACTTTACTTTTCAGTGCCTTTGGTTCCCTCGAGAAAATGAGGTGGTTGCCCCAGAGTTTAAACCTTTAATTTCTCTCTTGTTTATTGATTGACAGTGTTCATGTTAGTTTTGATTATCATGTAGTAGAAAAAAGTCACTCTTGAAGAAAATTGCTTTCTTACGTCATGCGCTGAAATCTGGTATATGGGTGTAGAAGGCACCATGTGTCTGTCCTTTATAAACACGGCGCAGACTTTTAAAGAGTGCTGACAGGTACTTCAGAAGTGACATAGGTGCTTGAAGAATTCTGTGTTGAACAGATAGCATTTATATGCTACTTTGCAGTTTAGGAAGTGTTAGAATTTAAAAAAAAAACCCTTCATCTTCTCACAGAGAGTACAATCTCTCCCCCTCACACAATATACTTTGGAACAAGAAATAGGAGACGAAAAACCTCCTTGAAATCATATGCTTTGTTACATAATGGAGTCAAGCGTGCCATCTCTGTTTGTATTGTTTAAAACTTTGTCTTCACAATACTTTACCTCCTTGACAAATCCTCAGCTTGCCTTTGCCTGGGTATTTCTGGAGGGAGAATTCTTGCTCTGCATCAAGGAGCTGTGTCCTTTTTAAAACTAAGTATAATTGTTAGGGTTTGCCTTTTACTGGGCTGAAAACGCCAGTAAATTTGTTCTCCAGGAAAGAATACACAGGCTGACTAAGGTCGAGTAACTATAGACCTCAGCATATTTTTATGCTGGGTTTGTGGTAAACCCGTCTCTAAAGATCACAGTGTTTGCAAACAGTTTTACTACTGCCATGTGATGGAGATGTCACCAGCTGGCATTCAGGGTGTTTTACAGAACAATCCTGAAAAGACATTTTAGAGTAAAAACATACTTTAGATGTACAAAAAATTCTGTCATCCATATGAGAAGATGGTTCTGTAGGTTTAAAATATAAATTAAATATTTTAATATATATTTAATATACTAATGTAACACACATTTAAAAATCAAACTTGTTTCTTGTCCTTAAACATTAATTGAAGATTTAACTCACTGCTTGAAAAGTCTGTAATTGTGACAGTTTTGCTCAGAATTTTGACAAGGTAAATAGCAATAAAATCTGTGTGAGGACCTGAGTTTAGTTCCACAAACCCAGATTAAAATGCTGGGCATGGTGTTATGCTTGTGATACAGTACTGGGAAGATGGTCCAGGAGGATCCTTGGGGTTTGCTGACCAGCCAGTGAAGCATGATTGGTAAGCTTCAAGACTGTGACAGAGACTGTCTCGAAGGATGACACATGAGGTTGTCCCCTGATGTTCACACATCACACATGCGTACCTGCACAGAAGAACACATACAAGTACACAAACAGAAAGAGAGAGAGAGAGAGAGAGAGAGAGAGAGAGAGAGAGAGATCAAACAAAGGAAGAAACTTGACATAAAGTAACTACTCTGATGACCTCTAATTTTTAACACTTTTTGTCCTGGTTTTTAACTTTAAAAATTGAGTTATATTATGTTCACTCATTTTTCCTCTTTTGGTCTAGCTTCTTTGATTAAATGTTTGTGCATATAGTTATAATTTGTTTCATTTTATTTCCTGTAGATTGTGTTTATGCCTCAGTGAAACGATGATGGACAATTGCTTAGTGTTGTTATGAATGGTTTTACACATGTCTTTTCATGAACATTGTGTACATTTATTTTAGATACTATTTGGGCTAGGATTGCTGAGTCATAAGCTTGTATATATTTTTAGATTTAATACAGAATGATAATTTTCTAATTGTCTAAGCTAGCAGTTTCACATCCCCTAGTATTTGGTCCTGTCTCTCCTTGTTTTAGTTAATGTGTATGTGTTAAAAATCAAATAGGATTTATTTGGGTGTTAAAAATTTAGCCCAGGACCTACTTTAACATTGAGCCACAGCCTAAGCAGAAAGATTTTTATAAAATTTTCCAAGTTACTTCCCCAAGCTTCACTGTCTAGGAGTGACCATTTGCTACTGTTTCTCTTTTTAGTAGCTGCTAAGTGTAGGTCTAGCTTCAGTACTGTCACAGCTATTTTTGATCCAGGTGTAGTGTTCTCTTCTGTTTATCCTCTTAAGATAGATGATTTACCTTATACCTTTTCTTACCATACTTCTGCCTTTTCCCCAAATTACCAGTTTTACATTGATGACATCTATAGTCTGTTAACTCTCATAAGCAGTTTTTTTTTCTACTATTTTCATTTCCATGTTGGATGGATCACATTTTCCTGTTTGTTTGAAGTTTTGTAATTTTTTTTTGGTAGAAACTAGAAGTTTTAGAAATTTGTGGGCACAACTCTCTCCTACCCCAGTGCTTGTAACTGCTTTGTTTGTTTTGGGACTGAATTTTTAATGACGTTCTCACTCATGCTCAGCTTTGGTTTACCCTCTCCCAGCTCCCCAGCTCCCTGTGCCGCACCACTTCAATAAACTCGCCCTTCTACTTTGTTACCACATGTGATCTTCCAAATAGGAGCTTATCATGTAGCCCAGGCTAACCCTCAGTTTAAGATTTGTGCTGGGTTTATAGGGGTGTACCAGCATGCTTAGGTGTTTGCTTTTTTTCTAGTTACTGTCTAGATTATTCTAATACCATCTGTGTCTCAGTCAGTGTAAAGCTTCTGATCTTGAGTCTGTTGTTTCTGACAGTGCTGTGAAGTATAGAGTGCTGTTCTAATCCCAGTAAAGTGTGACTCCTTCTGCAGCAGTTTTTGTAGTAGGTGCTTGATATTTGTCTGGTCCTAGGAGAAATGCTCCCAGCTCTTCCCAGAGCTTCTCCTGTGGAAGCTCAGAAGCCTGTCTTAGGTTGTATGTTCCCCGAGCCCTTGAATCTTCGATGAGTTTCCGTAGTCTGTTGTGCACCAAATTGGCTCTGTTAGAGAGATTTGGAGAGAGTTTTGACCTGCTCTGTGCCTCCTCCTCCTCATCTCAGCACAGCATCTGTGCCAAGACTCTCAGAGTAGTGTGGAAAGGAAACATTGGTAGGGTTTTCTCTGGGTGAAAAAGAAACCCCAGTGTTAGAAACTGAGCACTGGGGGTTGCCACGGACAGGTCGATGAGCTTTAACTGTTCTCACTGTGGAACTCTGGGCCAGGTAACAGGCAATTAGGGCCTCGGTGGTGTTTTCTCAGGCTGATGTACCCAAAGTAGACTCCTTTCCACAAATCAAAGGACAGAGTCGTCACCTCTCTACTGCCCTGTTGAGAATTTAGCCTAACAGGTAGGTAGCTAGGGGATTGGCGAGAACACTGATTAATCTTTTTGCTTCTAAAGACAAAGCCCTTTATTCAGAGCTATCTCAGTCTGAAGCAGAGTCTGCCTCCCTGACTTTATCGAGAGAAAGGAAGCCAGCCACCTTGGTTCATTTATCAGACTTAGTTTTCTTACTAAGTTTTTATAGAATTATTTTGAATAGATGTTTGAATAGATTGAAAATCACAGAGCTTCAAGCCAAGTTTTTATCATCTTCTTTGTCCTGTGTTTTAGTGGAAGAATATGAATTGTAGTTGAAATTAATGTTCTGCTGTTTTTAAACTCTTCCAATTTTTAACTAAGCTCAGGCATTTCCATAAGAAAAAGATTATTAGTGATAACCACACAGTGCTCCAGTAAGTCATAGCTGAGATGTTTCATAGTTTGGGCTTTGATAAAGTCAGTTTAGCTTGAATTCTGGTTGTGTCCTGCTGTGTGTGTAAAGTCGAATCACACCTTTAGTAACCATTCTCAACTTCTCTATCTGGAGAGTGGAGTGTATAGTAACACCCAGTATAGAGTGTGAGCATTAAGATAACTCATATAAAGCCATTCCCATTGCCAGCAAATAACAGGTTCCGTAATTACCGTTGCTGCTGTTTGCTACTATTATTTTATTATTATGTACCAATCACTATCATTTTGTGTCCACTGACCATACCTGGATTTTGATCATATATTGTAGGAACTTCTCATCTGATCCAAAGAATCTGTTTCCATCAAAACTTTAGGACCTCTTGGATTATCCTTTTCTGTATTCTCAGTGTCCTGGGCTTGTCAGTATGGGTGTCCACAAAGCCACAACTCATGGGTGATACAGAGAAGTCACTATTGCTTGCAGTTTTGTTACACTTTGGTTTTGTAGAGCTAATTATTAAGTGTTTTGAGTCTTCTGTTAAACAGGCAGGTATTCATTATGCTCCAAACTATGATTATTACTTAGAAATTAAGACTTATCTTTACTTTTGTCAGGTTTAAGCCGTTTTTTCCATACCAAGCCTTGCAAGGATTTGAAGAAGATGAAGAACTTATCCATATTCAACAGTGGGCACTTACTGAAGGCCGGTTGAAAGTTACATTGTTAGAATGTAGCAGGTATGTTCTTTGTTTTCTCTTTACTACATGTGGGCAAGAAAGTATGATAGATATGTACTTAAGGACTGTTTATTCTGTTTTTATGTTAGTTTGTATTATATTATTTTTTACATTAAATGGTTAAAGCATAAATTTAATGAAAATAGTCTTTTTCAGTTTGCAAAAATATGAATCATGTTTTAGAAGGTGTCTTTAGAAAGACACTTGGAATATTTATTTTTCAGTAATTCCTAAGTTTTTAAATGAACATTCCTGTACTGACATTTTTATCCTTTCCTTTTGAAGAGCATTCCTAGCATAGTAGTTTTAAGAATTGTGATTATTAAAAATGCTCACTAAAGTGACTAAACCAGACTTTGAACCAACCCTGCGCATTTGGAAGTAGTCTTTCCGCACTTCAGTGTTTTACCCCCAGAGTCCGAGCTGTGTTCATTTCTTGCCTAAATCAATGACTACACTAGTTTTACCATTCCTGACACTTGGTTCCCACTATGGCAACCAGAATGACCTTTAAACTGCAAGTACATTGTCACTCTCCTGCTTAGAGCTCAGTAGCTTCCTTCTTCCTCCAAGACGGCATCCAGATCTTCCCCTGATCCACGAGTGTCTCTTTATCCAGCTTCTTTTTCCTGCCTTCTGTTCAGCCCTCTCTCATAGTGTGTCAGCTACACGGGTCTTCTTAGGAGGTTTGACAAAATTTCCTCCAGAAAGTCAGGGTACTGTGATTTCCCCTGTGCCTGTCGTATCTCCCAACTCTGCTGTGCAGCGCAGAACTAGTCATAGGCAGTGTATAAATGGATGGGCGTGGCATGTACTGAAGTACTGTGATTGCTTTTTAACCACTTAAAAATGTAAAATCTTTTGATAGCCCACATAAAACAGAATGAGCCTGGGTTTGGACCACAGCCTTCCATTTTCAGCCTAGACATCTTAAATGACAGCTCCTTACTGTCTGTCATCTGCCTTCTTGACCCATACAGCCTCATGCTTTTTGAAACTAGCCTGTCTTGGTACATTCCAAAGCTACCTCCCTATTATCTGCTCAGCATTCTAAATACAGTACACTGGCCTTAACTGCATTCCTGTGACGCTTGTTTATGCCACTGACTACTTACCACTTTTAAATTTTTTATTTCTAACTCTTAATACAAATAAGTATTTGAGTACTAGGGTTATATTTTGTACCTAATACATCTGAGTCTTTGCAAATAGATTAATTCTGATTATATTGATCATATATTAACTCATTTTCTTAAGTCCTGTAGTGGTGACTGGGGATTATGCTTCATTCTCTCAGAAAGTCTTACCAAGAGTCTTTAATTGAAAAAAGGAGGTAAAAATGCCATGTAATTCATAAAAAGAACTTAGTGTACAATAAAGCAAATATAGTAGGTACGAGGCTAGATATTTAGAAAAAAATTAGTTCTTCTGCCCGAATGTTCCTAGAGGAACTTGAGGGTTGACTCTGTGTCTGTTGCTTGTGGCCATTGACTCTTCCTTGTTCAGTCCTCCTGTGCCTAAGCTGCGTTAATATAGTCCATGTTGATTGAAATAAATGATACAAAGAAAAGCATTAGAATTTGTGGAATATTTGCTCTGTATTTTAATAAGAAACTGCTGGCTGAATTTCTGAAAATATAGAAGAAACCAGTCGACTTATTCAGGGAAGAGTGTGGGAACTGGGTTTATGATGATGTGACAGCCAAACTTTTCACTATAAATGTTTTTATATTTTATTTTTTTGTGACTATGTCACCTGTCAAAAATTAGATTAGATACTTTAAGAGTGCAGAATTGTGTTTAAAAGGAAATTAGGGAGCCGGGCAGTGGTGGCGCACGTCTTTAATCCCAGCACTCGGGAGACAAAGGCAGGAGGATCTCTGTGAGTTCGAGACCTGGTCTACAAGAGCTAGTTCCAGGACAGACTCCAAAGCCACAGAGAAACCCTGTCTTCAAAAACCAAAAGCAGACAAAAGGAAACTATGGAAAATAGTTTGCTTTATCAAGTTTTTATATTAGCCCTACTTGCTTGGAATAGTAGCTCATACTTTTAAGTAGGGGGCAACTTCATGTTTGGAATGGGTATGCTATTAAAATAACTTTCTAGGCATTGTTTTTAAGAAATGCAAACAGATAAAAGCTGGCTTTATGATGAAAATGTCATTGTTCATATAATTTAAGAATTAATTAAAAGTGTTTATATAAGGGAGAAAACAAGTTGTTTTTCTCAACTCATCCTAACCCTTTTGGCTTCATAGTGAAGCCTTAGCATTTTTTCTATACTGTATTAGGAATCTCTAGAAGAGGAGAACAGATAGTATGACTGTATATTAGAAAGAGTATTTATTAAAAGGTTGGCATACACAACAGGGACTAGTTAGTTCAACAATGGCTGGCTGTTCACTAGAGATTCTAAGACTTGGGTAGCTTCTCAGTTATGAGGCTGGCACTGAAGACCTGAAGAATCACTGGTATTCAGTCTGTGTTGGCAGGCTAAAGATGTTGATGTCAACAAAGGATGATAGGAATAGGGTAGATAGATGTTCTCACCAGTAGGAAGTAAAGGCAGGCAGGCAGGCAGGCAGGCAAGAGCAGTGTTATTTTTTACTTGAATTTCTTTACACATGGGCTGCTAGGGAAAGGTGTTTCTTGCTCCGAGGGAGGATCTTTTGTGGGAAATCACTTTACAAACCCACACAGAAGTGTGCATCTTAGAGGATCCACATTTATTTAAGTTGACAGCCAAGATTAACCATCACGTATATTCTATTAATCTTTAAGATTTATTTATTTTCATTTTATGTGTGTGAGGATTTTGCCTGCAGGTATGTTAGTGAACTGTGTGTGCCTGGTGCTGGCAGAAGCCACAAGAAGGTTCTGATCCCTTTGGAACTGTAGTTATGCAAGCTGCCTCATGGTACTGGGAACTGAACCCAGGTCCTCCGCAAGAACAGCAGTTTCTCTTAACCACTGAACTATTTCTCTGCCCACCTCCCATTCTTATTAAAGCTTATATTGTTCTTTAGTGTAGAATTCTTTTTTACGTAATATAAACATAGAACTTCCTATTCAGATAGGTTTTATGTGATTCAAACTGAGAAATTTTCATAGTATTATTTTAATTATCTTGTTTTGAATATAAAATTCTTAGTTTATTATCATCTCCAAAACAGAAATTGATAGCAGAAGGGGCAAAAAGGAAATAAAAATAAAAGTGCATAAACTTATAATTTTGCATTTTGGAGATGTCATAAAGGCTTAATACCTTTTGAGATAATTTTTACCATAATTACTTACTGATGAAAATTTTTTAATAAATAGAACATTCAAAAAAATTTAAATGTAAGACGATTAAAAATGTTTCTGTAAATAATTTGAGCATAGATAGGTAAAGTTCTGAATTGGCTTGCTGTGATGAGCTGAAGTTTGATGGGGATAATTATACACATACACGCATGCACGCATACCCCCAATAAATAAATAAATACTAAAAAAAACCTTCCAGTAATTTTCCTCCTAATCTATGAAATGGAATATAATACTCACTATTTGTGGTCAGCCATGGCTCTTATAAAGACTTTATTTTTTTAAACTGTTCACTTTGAAATAATGAAAAATTTGTGTGTGAATAGTGTTGACTGAGTTTTCTGTCCTGCCCAGTTCCCTCAATCATTAAGTCCCGAAGAAATTACACAGAGGTCTCCATTAGTTATAAACAGATTGGCCCAGCATCTCAGGCTTCTTATTAACTTATTATATTAGCCCGTTATTCTAGTATATGTCACCCACATGGCTCAGTACCTTTTTCAGTGAGGCAGTCACATCTTGCTTCTGTGGCGGGGCCAGGACTACAGAGGAATAGGCTTCCTTCTTTCCAGAATTCTCCTGTTCTCATTGACTGCCTCTACTTCCTGTCTGGTTGTCTCGCCTATACTTCCTGCCTGGCTAGTAGCCAATCAGCGTTTATTTAAAATATAATTGACAGAATATAGATCATTGTCCCACACCAGAATAGTTTTTAAACATTTTAGCTACTTATTTTGAAGTAATTTTAGACTTAAAAGCATGCATGAAGGTTTTTTATCAAACTAATATGTTAAAAGATTTTGAGAATATATTTCCCCAATGAAATAAAATAAAAATTTAAGATATATTTATTTTTTATGTGTATGATTGGTTTGCTTGAAGTATGTATGTGTACCATATGTGTGTCTGGTACCTGCAGAAGTCAGAAGAGGGCATCTGATCCACTTGGGACTGGAGTTAGAGATGGTTGTAAAACTCAAGTGTAGCCAGGGGTTGGGGGTTAGGGGTTGGGGGTGGGGTGGCGCACACCTTTAATCCCAGCACTCAGGCAGAGGCAGATGCAGGGGCAGACAGTGTTAAGTTGGGAGCCTAGGCCCAAGCCCCTCTCATCTATCCCAGCCCCCAGGCCTGAGAGCTGTATTGATCTGGACTCCAAATCCCAGCATGCCGGGTCAGGACCACTCCCACAGGGTATTTATGTGAGCTCCCAAAGGAGGATCACGTGGTCCCTTTTCCTTCCTCCCGGTGGTCCTGGCTCCCCCTCGGGGCTACCCGAGAGCGCAGGAATCCCATTAAACCTGGATATTTCTTGATTTGGCTTGATTGGGAATTTGCGTCAGAAGAGAGCTCGCATTAGGAAAAATTCCTAACAGGTGGATCTCTGTGAGTTCGAGGCCAGTCTGGTCTACAAGAGCTAATTCCAGGACAGGCTCCAAAGCCACAAAGAAACCCTGTCTTAAAAAAAAAAAAAGAAAGAACAAACCTCAAGTTCATATGATAAGAAGTTAAATTGCCTCAAAAACAGCTATGCAGAGATCAGTTCCCCCACTACAAATGAAACTTAAAGAATTTCTTAGTTTACTTTTATTTTTTAACTTTAACTTTTTTAACTGACAAAGTGTGTCTATCTTATGTGACATGCTTTAAAATATGCATCCATTATAGAGCTACTAAGTCAAGGTAGTTATTTTCCT